CTCAGGCTCTCGGAGTGCTGGAATTGTAGGTGTGTGCCATCACAACTGGCTCTTCTGTTTGTTTTTTTTTGTTATTGCCGATGTTTTTTGTTTTTTGCTCTTCTGTTTCTTTGTTGTCCTTTCATCAATACCAGATCATCTTGATTTCTGTAGGTTTTTTTTTTTCTCTTCTCAGTACTGGGGATTGAACCCAGAGCCTTCATACTGAGACTTTCCCAACTTGCTCCCCTTTAAAAATTTTATATTTTAAGACAGGGTATTGTTAAGTCACTAAATTGCTCAGGCTGGCTCTGAACTTGTGATCCGCCTGCCTCAGTCTCCTAGAGGGCTGGGATTATAGGCATGCACCACTGTGCCTGGCAGCTTACTGTGTTTGTAGAGTAGGCACGTGTGTGTTAAACCCTGATGCTGCCTAAGTGCTCTCTCATCCTCTTACCAACAGCAGGGGGCGTCATCCACCCTCCAAATCGCAGGCCTGCACTGGGCTCACCCGCAGTCCCATTGCTTAGCAAGCGTCTGGCACATGGCTGCTCTTCCTGTGTTTGCTGAGTGAATGACAGATCTGAATGTTGGCAACACTTATGAAGATGCCTTATGTATTAGCTTTTTGTTGCTTTAAAAAAATATCTGAGATAATCAACTTATAAAAAGAAAGGGCTTCTTTTGGCTCAGAGTTTTGGAGTTCTAGTCCTGGCCCAGGCCCTTCTGTCTGGGGCCTGGAAGGCAGCACATCCTGCAGGTATGTAGGGTGAAAACCGTTCACCTCATGGTTGGGAAGAAACAGAGCAAGGAGACGGCTGGTGTCCCATGAGGGACCTAGGGAGTCCCACGAAGCCCCCCTACTTTGAAAGATTCCCCTACCGCCCAAGAGCACCACCCTGGGGACCCAGTCTTTAACTTATGGTCCTTGGGGATATTCAGGATCCAAACTGTAGTACCTTACAAAGGGGAATCTTATGATGGTAACAAAGATGGGACAACTAAACTAAACTCTAGGCAAATGTTTCTAAAATCCCAAAAGATCTTGTCACTCAGAGTAGGGTGTGATAATAACAACAAAATAATAGCTAAATCCTGTACAGTGTTTACTGAGGGCAAGAGTGGGTCCAGTCTGCACCCCATAGCTAAGATACCACCTCTTGTGGCCATGGCCCGAGCAGCAGATAGAGGAAAAGACAAGAAAGGGAGCACAGGGCAGACTTCTCTTAAGGAAAGTTCCTAGCAGCTGCCACATGACACTCTGATCTATGTCTCCTTAGGTGCATGGCCACACATAGCTGCATGGCAAGATGGAAGTGTAGACTTTATATACCAAGTTCTTCTGCGCTTCTAAGTTTGGCTTTCTGTCGTGTATGAGCAGAAGAATCAACTTATATGTCCTGTTTCCTCAAGTGGGGTCTTGACAAGCAGTATTTATTGTGGAGACACCTGGGTGTGGTGACACATGCCTGCAATCCTAGAAGCTGAAGCAGGAGAATCACAAGTTCAAAGCTAGTCTGTGCAACTGAGACCCTGTCTCAAAATAAAACATTTAAAAAAGGGGCCTGGGATATAGCTCAGTGGTAGAATGCCCTAGGTTCAATCTCGAGTATTGCGGGAAGGAAGGAAGGAAGGAAGGAAAGAAGGAAGGAGAAAGGAAAGGAAAGGAGGGATGGAGGAAGGAAGGGAGATTAGGGGTATTTTATTTTAAAGTTTTAATTTAGAAATGACAAACAGCAGCCAATCTTACCCATAACAGACTAAAAGCTCACAAAGATCTTTTGGGGAAGATTTGACCCCATGTAAATACTAAGGAGTGCAAGTGATTCCTGTATCTAATGGTGCCAACCCCTCAAGATGGATCTTTACCAAAACCAAATGTCTACACTACCAGATTAGGAAGTAGGTCCAGCTCAGGAGACAGTTTTCTCTTTTTTGGGGGGCAGGGTAGAGACCAGGCCTCACTATATAATTCAGGCTGGCTTTGAACTCACTATGTAGCCTAGGCTGGCATTACAATCATGGTGATCCTCCTGCCTTAGCCTCCTGAGCACTGGGATTACAGTTGCCACCACACCCGGCCTAAGACACACTTTGTACAATGATAGTATAACTAGACCAATAAACTTCATATTTCAGAAGCACTGACAAGAAAATGACCTGTGTACTCTGGTTAGCAGAATATGTTCAAACGTATTGAAAGTGCACTGGGGATTTAGCTCAGTGGCGCTGTGCCTGCCTTGCAAGTGCAAGGTCCTGAGTTTGATTCCCCGGTACTGCAAAAAAAAAAAAATGAAAGTGTTGGAAATTGTCATCACTGCCTCTAAATGTCATTTCCACAATGAGTCTGGGATGCGAAGGGCATATTTTTTCTTCAATTCAACATTAATAAGATAGTCAAGGAACATGTTCAAGTATAGCTACTTGCTAGGAATTATTGTAAGTCACACACACCGCACACACTCACACAAACACATTTAAAGCTCACACTTGTTCTATTACCCCATGAGTAGGTATTTTTTTGTTTGTTTGTTTTTTGGTACCGGGGATCAAACTCAGGACCTTGCACTTGTGAGGCAGGCAGCGGAATCCATGAGTAGGTATTAACAACTCCATTTTACAGACAATAACAGTGATCCAGCAGCTCTCCTAAGTACTATGGCCAAGCTGCTTGCCACGGCCTGCCCCACCCTGGACACTGCCTCGGGTTGAGCCCCTTTGCCATCTTGCAGTGGGACTTTAGCAAAAGCATGCTCAGTGCCTTGGAAAAGTTTTGGGGAAACACTCACTCCTCCAGAGGCTCCAAGCAACCCTAAGTACAAACAGGGAGAAATACTCTATTTATGTAAGAATACTCTTCATGTGGCATGGTTTTTTTTTGGTACCAGGGATCGAACTCAGGTCCTTGTGCTTTCGAGGCAGGTGGCGGAGCCACCGAGATAAATCCCTGGCCCATGTGGTATCGTTTTTAAGAATCAAGAACTGGCCACACCCTAAATGCTTAAATGTGCCAGTAGCTAAATAAGGGTCACCTATAGAATTGATGAACTAGTTCATGGGAATTGTCCATCAGGCATTTTTATTAACATGTTCTAATATTCAAGGGGGAGGTTAGTATCCAGAAACACACACACACACACACACACACACACACACACACACACACACACACACACACAAAAACAGGAAAAGGACAGTAAGAATATATTCCCAGAATTTGAAGAACTTGTTGCTTGATGAACTCTGGCTAGAGGATTACAGCAGATTTCCTATTTTTCCCCCTTGCCCTTTGTTTTCTAGCTTTTCCACATGAATGTGTTTACTTTGATAATCTGATTTTTTTCAGTTTAACACTTTTGTGTAATGTACCCTTTGGTGCTCTCTGATCTTGTTCTAAGCATCACTAGGATTCTGGATCCATTTTCTTTTTCTTTTTCTTGGTACCGGGAATCAAACTCAGGGCCTTGCACCCATTTTCTTTTTTTTTTTTAAGAGGTGGTTGATGGGCTGGGGATTTAGCTCCTTGGTGCCACCACCCATCTCACAAGTGCAAGGTCCTGAGTTTGATCCCCAGTACTGAAAAAAAAAAAAAAGAGGTGGTTGATATTTTTATTAGACTATGTGTGGATCCCCACCTCTACCCCACAGAGGATTGAATCGGCTCCTTGCACACGTGAGACAATGTCTCTACCACTGGACTCACTTAGAACTTTAGAAACAAACTTTAGAACAAACTTTAGAAAGTTTGAATTTTAGTACTGTATCTTCAAGAGGACTTCAAAGGATGCCCCAATAGTCACACTGGAAAAAAGGCAGATGAAATTGGGGAAGAGACAAGAAAGGTGGCATACTTCAGTGCAGCACATTGAACTGTCTGGTGTCTACTCCACCTCTAGGCCCCTTGAGGACAACCTTAGCTTTCCACGCCTCAAGGAAGCCCGTGGTTCCTTGTGGGACATCTACTGAAGATATTCTGAGTGTAGCTACAACACACTCTATGCTGAAATAATCTAGAATAACATTCTTTTCCCTGACAGATTTGCTGTACAATGCCAACTTTCCTTCCCAGACAAGGTCCGTGTTTCCCCATGGATTTGTGTGCAGTGAGGAAAGATGTAGAGCACCTGCTGTCCCCAATCCAGCTTGAGCACCACTCCCTTTCTAACCCTCTACTAGGTCCCATGGCAAATGAGATTTGTTGGTGCAGCTTCTCCTCCAACCCCCTTTTCTATAGGGAGCAGTTTCTCCTTCCTTTCAGGGTTACCCCTTCAATAGGACTGATCTCAGATCCTGCTCTGCATCTTTGTCTACACATCCGGTCAGCAAAGCTCTCCTTTATCCTGGCACAGGGACCAGAGCAGCCAGTCAGTCCTTCCTTGGGATCTTCCAGCGTGTGCTGGGCATGAGTGCATTTAACAGTGAACATCAGAGGTAAAGCCGTCTTTCCTCCCATAGACATAAGGCAACACATGTCTTTTCTGCCTAAGCTACTTTGAGTAGATTCCTAACAGTTCCAAGTAAGATAGTCCTCATTTTTTTCCTTTGTGTATTTTCCATAATAAAAACAAAATTTAAGTTTGGTGGAAAACATTAAGCTAATCCCTCTACCTGCCCGTTCCTCTCCCCCAGTCCCTATGAAGACAGGCTTATTTCACTTCTACCAGAAAGCCAGTCTGTGTTCATATTAACAACCTATTTCAAAGAATCCATTAAGTTTTTCTTTCTTTTTAGGGTACCGGGGATCTAACTCAGGATCTTGTGCTTTCGAGGCAGGCGTGGCGTCACTGAGCTAAATCCCCAGCCCTAGTCCATGAAGTTTTTGCACCTCAGGTGACAATTCTCCCTCCATACAACAGCCCCCCCACCAATAGCTCAAGGTCCTTAGGGCCGAACCCTATGAAGACATGGAGTGTTCAGGAAGAAATGGTTGTTACTGTGCTATGAACATACATTACCAAGAATGATGGTGCAAAGCTGGGCCGCTCAGTTTTCATATTTAAACGAGGGTAATTAAACAGTCATCATTTGGGACACATATTTTATTGTTTAAAAATTTCCAGCAGAGCTATCATCCAGCTATACCTTTGTCAGGAGATGCCTGTGAGAACCCAGACTGGAGAACAGCCCAGGGCAGTTTGTGTTTGCTCTTCCTGAGCACCTAAGACATCAGAATGAAAATGAGCAGCGTGGCCTGAAGGTGTGTGGTGAGGGATTGACCAGGCAGTGAGGCACAGACTCCCTGGCACCACCCACATGTGAAGGCTAAACAGCAGAAAGCACACAAGTGTGGCCTTAAGGTGAGACACCCACAGGCAACTTTCTGTGGTGATGCTAGAAGAGGAAAGGCATTGTAACAGAATCTGCAGAAAATCAAATCTGTCATGATTGGCATTCCGACCTTAGGTTAACCTCCCAACTAGCTGACATTATTACTTTATTTTAAAAGCAAACCAAGTGTATATAGCATCTCTTAAAAAATCATGTAAACGTTGCAAAGTTTTTAGGGGTTATTTATAATCTGAAGAGGCTTATAAAAATTACTGGACTTGTTAAGACTATAAATACTAACCCTATTCCCTCATGAAAAAGCAATTGTTACAAAAATATAAAAAATATACTAGCTTGTACTATTTAACCTTCCCACCAGAAATCTCATGACTGTGGGACACATCCTGGTTTATATACCGTACAGAAAGCACAAGCACACGTCTTTCAATTTTGTAAGCAAGGAAAAGTTCCAAAACATTCTCTTTTGTTATTTGAGATTGTGGCTGCTTTTCTCACAGGGACAGTAATGCTAGTAAGGACAGTTTGAAGTTTGAGTGTGTTTCCCCGCACGGACCCAGAGTGGAAATCAGCACAGGAAGCTGCTTTCCAACGTCCCTCCTTTGTCTCTTCAGATTGCTCTCTAGCTCCTTCAGTTCCACTTTGGGAACTGCTGGGTCCCCAGATGCCTGAGCTGGTCACAGCTTCCTTCACTTCCCATTGGTGAAGGCAGACAATGAGGGGGTCCAGGCTACTGGTGATAAGGACAGAGTACAAGGCCTGCTGCTGCCTGCAACACTGGCTTCTGGGCCTGTGGCTGGGTGGCAGGTTTGCTTTTGCAGGGAAGCTGCATATTTGTGAACACTGTCCTCCTTCCTGGAGAAAATGACCATGGCCATCTCACATCGTGTACAGAGCCAGGAGGGGAGGCAGGAGCAAATACAAAGGGAGAACACTTTGCATGAAGTCAAAACACCAGTAAATGTTGAATCTGACTGCATTCACTCTTCCACTGGAGCCTGACTACCAGGAACTCTGATCAATTACCAGTTATGAAATGGATCAAATTCAGTTTGAAACATTTTATGAAACTACAGAGGCTAGGCTCTTAGTTGGTCAACTCCATAAGGATCCCCCCACAGCTGAGGGTGGTTTCAGTCTTGCTTCATCCCTGCGGCCACCAGCAAGGGGCAATGTAATGGCTCAGTCAAGTACTGGAGAGAAAACTCCCACTGGGTAACCAGGAGGATGATCCATAGGCCACCAGGCAGAACCCCTCCATATAACTGGGATATGGCTAGGCTGTAACCTGGGCCCCTGAAGTCCAAGGAGATCTCTCATACCAAGGCCTCAGCCTAAGCATGTTCAGGAGAACCCTGCATCTCTGAAGCTCTGCACGCATATCTGCCATGATGCTCAGAAGTGGAGACCGGGTTTGGCCTGCACCCTGGCTCACACTCAATCCTCCCTGTGGGACCTCTGACCTTGGCTGCAGCCCCTGGTGCCACTAGAACCTGACCTAGCATCCTGTCCTACCCAGGTGTCTCATCATTCTTGCCTGAGATGGGCTGCTCTTATCCAGGCCACAATGACGGACCCTTCCTGAGGCCCTATGGATTCCAGGCTCTACTGTTCGAAGGACTACGTTTTCACACCACTAAGGGTGAATTGTTACCAGTTCTCACTGTGGTTAAGTCACACATTTCCCAACACCTGCTTGTCTCTCCAGGTCTGAAACACCTCATCCAACACGGCCTGGTTGTTTAAAGCCCAAAGAGAACTTTTCAAAACTAGCAGCAGCAATAGACGATTCAGAGAACTCCAGCCACATCTGCTGAGCAATCCTCTCTACTTTGGTGCACTGCAAAACCAGGGCCTATGAAACATTGTGAATTCACATTTGCTCCCAACATCAAGGCACAAAGGAGTCTCCTGTGCAAAATGACATGACCATGAGCAGTGACCTCCCTGAGGCCCGAGGCAGTCAGTGGGGGATGCTGGGTGGTGTAAGGAGGGAACCCGAGGTGGGGGTATCCCTCGGCCTGCGGAGTCCTCAGGCGTACTTGTCCAGGAACTTTATGTGAAAGTCCTTCACCTTCTGGAGCACTGTCTTCAGCTTCTCCACTGGAGGGAGGATGGTCATTCTGTCAAGAAAGAGAGCAGCATCAATCTGGCTGCTCAAGAAAAGGGGAAGGAACAAACTTAGCTGCTCGTCTTGCTCTGCTAGAAATGGAGGTGCGGGAGAGGAGGACAGGCCTGTCTGTCCTGCCCCTCGGAAAAGTTTGAGACCCTGGACAGTGACTGGCACTTGCTAAAATACTTTCACTCCATTCATATATTCAGAGACTGAAACCACCCTCTGCTATGAGGGGATCATTTGAGATAGGGTTTTGCTGTTGCCCAAGCTGGGCATAAACCCCTGAGCTCTAGTGATCCTCCTGCTTCAGCCTCTGGAGTAGCTGGGACAACAGGTATGCACCACTGGTAATAGGTGGAAACAAAGGCAGAGACGGGCAGCATTTAGGCTCACTCAGACGTTTACCCATTACTGACGAAGGCCATATTTGGATTAATGCACAGAACTTTCTAGAGCATGACTACTGGTCTCTTCTACAACAAAGCAAGATTTTACTCCCGCCCGATGGGAGTTTGGTTTTTGTTTTTTAATCTCTAGCCATCAGTCTCTAACAGTGAGACAGCCTCCATTCACAGCTCTCCTTCCGAAGACATTCATTCCCAAGTCACCATGGCTAAGCCAACCTCTCCCTCCAGCCCTGACAACCAGCTTTCTAACCCTTGAGGCAGCCTTCCTGAAGGAGGACACTGCTTTTTTGTGTCATTTTGGGGATGGAACCTAGGGCCTCACACTTGGAATGTGCTCTACACTGACCCCAACCCAGCACCATGTTGGAGTGGGCCTGGGTCAGAGGCGATCCTGACTGAGGTAAGCAGACCAAGCAGATGTGTTGCATGCCTCTGGAGGGCCCCACTCACAACCTAGGTGAAGACATCTGGGAGCTTTATGCGTGGGGAAGATGCTATTCTGGACACATTAGGTCTTTGTGGGTAACCCTGGCTGAGCCATGCAGCCCTGGGAATCATATTCCACCCTTGAGGGTTGGCCAGGGTGAGCTTGGGAAAAGGATCTTGGGAAGAGTAGCTGATTCCATTGTATAACTTCGGAGACTCCTAACAGGCCAGAGTCCATGGTGCAACTACCAAGTGCCTGCTGTGTGCTCTTATCATGAAGTTTAAAGGAGACAGAAAATAAGTAAACACATTCCTGGGGACATCACATCTGTGATGTGATAGATGAAGGCAACAGAAGCAAAAGACAGGATAGCTGAGGAAGACCTCCCAGAGGAGACTCCTTTGGCACCCACAGGAACAAGGACAGTAGGACAGCACAAGGGTGAGCCGTACTTGGAAGGACAGAGGCTTCTCTCCTCTTAGTTCTGCAGCCAGCCTATGCTCCAGTCAGGCTGGACAAACCATAAGCAGGTCCCTGGTTGGAGAGGGCATCGTACCTGAAGTGGTAAGTGCCTTCCCTCTGCCCAAAGCCACTGCCAGGCACAACGCAGATGCCGGTCTCCTCCAGGAGCTTCATGCAGTAAAACATGTCTGGAGCCATTTTATGGGCCTGCAGGAGCAGAGCAGAACTTAAGATTCATTCCTAGCTTCACAATGTACAAACACACCACTAAAAACTCAACGCCAAACATAACCTGAAAGGCAGGTTATTCTTCTTGTAGCAGGACCCCTCTACCCTCCCCTGCCAGATGCCCAAGGCAGGATGCTGCCGGTAGTAGCTGGCTCAAAAACCAGACACTGAAGGTTCCTTCAGGCCATCCAGGGGTGGCGATGCTGCTGCTCCCCACTGGGCAGTGCCAGCCAGTTTCAGTACCCCATTCCCAGTGGCTGCTTGGTGAGCACTGTCGGTGGCCTTCTAGGAGCTGAGCTAGGGCCGGGGTTTTAGCTCAGTGGTTTCACCGCCAGCTGCGCAAGCACAAGGACCTGAGTTCGATCCCCGGTACCAAAAAAAAGTTGATGATGATAGGAACTAAGCTACATGATGCTCTGAAAACAAGGCCTGGGGTCTGCATTCAGTGGGCTTTCAGGGGACAAGTGTTTCTGGGGCCACTGATGATAGTGTTTCTCACACACTGGTTTGCACATCACCAGGGAGCCTGTTAAATACAGATGCTCAGGCTGCAACGGCAGGGATTCAGATTCCGAATGTCTAGGATAGCTCTGAACATTTAACAAGGTATTCAGGAGGTTCTGGGTGGGTGCAGATAACACTTTCAGAAATGCTGCTCTGCCCTTGATCCTCAAAGTGGGGTCTGCAGCACCACCTGAGAATTTGGAAATGGAGAATCTTGAGCCCCTCGACGCTCAGTGAGCCAGAATTGTCATTTAACAAGACTCTAGGTGATTAGTGTACATGATCAAGTCTGGGAAGCAGTGGGACATCACATGGAACATCCCCCCTGGGGCCGGGGGGTTAACAGAGCCCAGACCGGCCATCTCCTCCAGGGGTGGCTCCACGTCTGCACCACTGCCAACACACCACCGGGGCTGGGCCTCTGAGGACCTGTCATCCTTCTTTCTTTTTTTCTTTTTCGGTACCAGGGATCGAACTCGGGTCCTTGCGCTTGCGCAGCAGGCGGCGAAACCACTGAGCTAAATCCCTGGCCCCATCTTTCTTTCACAGTAAGCAGTGTCTGGCTAAGAGGTTCACAGAGCTTAAAGCCCTGACAACCAGAGCCTCTGCTCCCCATGGCAAGGGCCAGCCCCCTGACCCAGTTGTCTCAAGGGAATCCTGGGAGAGGAATCTAGCCTGGCCGCACCCAGACCTGAGCTGCTTCCACAGCCTTGGTGGGAATGAAGATCCGAGGAAAGGCATACATGGCGCCCTGCAAGGGGTTGCAGTGAATTCCTGGGACTTCGTTAAACAGGTTTTCTGTCAGCTTTGCTTTTGTGGCCAGGTTACCCAGGACGGACTCCTTCTCCTGAGAAAGACAAAGTATAGATAGGGGTCAGCGTTTCTGGATGAGGCCTGCCCCAGCCACAGGAGACCACTCCTTCCAAGCGTGCTAACTGACCAATTGACAAGGACAAGTTGCGTGTGTGTGAGCACAGCCGGTAGGTACAGACTCACAGCCCAAGACTGCTATGCACCCTGAGGCACATCAGTACACATAGGTGGCCTGTGTCATGAGCTCGATTCTTGTACCAGAATGTCATTTCACAAAGCAAAACAAATCATTCCTTGCACATTAGTCTGGATGGACGCGGCCCTGGGCAGAACACCCTAGGAATATTTTTAGCAGACATGAGCCCTAGGGGCCCTCTCCTCTCTCTCAGTCCCTGTGGTGTGCACTGGACACAGGGTCCGGGCAGAGCAACAGAGTCCCTGCTGGCGCAGAGCTAGACAGTGTCCAAAGCTGGAGCAGAGCCTCCCAGGACTTCAGTAAGTGCCGTCGGGAAAGGGGATAAGCGGTGCGTGTCTACAGAGGAGTGGGTAAACGATGATACAAGTTGGCCTTCTTTCCTGAAGGGACTTCTGACCACAGCACGATGAACCTGGAGGAAGCTGCTGAGTGAAATAAACCAGTCATATAGAACAACCAGCGCCAATTCCACCCCTATGTGGTATCTAAAGTACGTGAATTCACAGAAACAGAAAGTAGGGGCTGGGAGAAGGGCAGAGTAGGGAGTTGTCATTTGATAGGATGAAGTTTCAGTTTGAGATGGATGCTGGAAATGGTTGTACAACAAAGTGAACTACATACTGCCAAGGGTAGTCCAAGTTTACCCTTGGACTTAGCAATGGTGAATTTTTTGGTATGTATACTTTACTACAATTTAAAAAAAGAAAGAAGACCCTGGACCAGTAGGTTACATAGTTTTTTTTTTTTTTTTTTTTTTTTAAGACAGTCTCACTATGTTGCCTAGACTGGTCCTGAGCTTAACTCAAGTGGTCCTCCTGCCTCGGCATCCTGCAGAGCTGCAGCTACAGGTGCATAGCATAATACCTAGCTCCCTAAGTCCTTTTTTGTTTAAACTAGGCAGCACTGGGTTTCTGTCACATAACTGATAGGGTCACGAATGGATCATGTTGAGCCAGGAAGATACATGGTTAGGCCAGAGTTACAACCCATGCTATGCCTCACCTCCTTCCCCTTTCTTTTAGCGTAATGATAGGGCACAAGGCCCTCTGCCTGGGTATCTCGAGGAAGAAAGGTCCACCCCCCACATGCAGTCACAGTCCTCCCACTCCAAAACCTATCTTGCCGCATCCTCTGACATCACCAACTAGTGAGGGTGTTTTAGGCACCAAGAGGACCCTGAGCACCCCCTGGAGGACAGACAGGCACATGGACCACCCACACACATACACCCATGAGAGTACGTGGCCATGTGGAGACAGGTCCACCATCAGCCATGACAGGAATTCACCTGTGACCTTACAGCAGCAGTGATGTAGATGGGTCACAACGGACTCACCTTGTGGAACTGCTCGAAGGACTCCTCCCCTGCCACTGGAGGGTTCACGACGATGTCCATGGCGGCCTGTCCAGACACAGGCGGGCACAGACGCACTGAGAGCAGCTTCACCAGCTGGCCCTTGATCTCGGGGTGCAGGTTGATCACCTCCATGTAGCCTCCACGGTAGCCACATCTGGAGGGTTGAGCAGACAGAGCACAGCCAGCAGTCAGAGAAAGACCTCACCAAGTGCATTTGGACACCCAGACTGTCACCATCCCCACCTCAACACCCAAAGTTTCTGCCACTGGAAGGTGAACAGAAGTGCCAATGTACCAACCCTACTTCCATACAAGCAGTGTGCGCTCCTCTTGCTCTGTCCCCACTTGCTGAGATACTGGAGCAGCAGCCCAGTACTGAAGATGGATATCACATGCTGAGAAGGCAGATACGCCAGATCCCTGTCCTTGCCTGACCCTGTGGAGCATAGCCTACCTTGGCCTTCCTCCTACCTTTAGACCATTATGTCAGAGACACACTTCTATCTTGTGCAAGCCACTGTATTTTGGGGTGTTCTGTTATAGCAATTTAGCCTGAAACCTAATCACTAGTACCTATTCAAAAGACGGGTGCAGCACCCAGCCCTGGCATACCCCTGGTACAAGCTCCAGGAGTAGGCACATGATTCATTGGTGCTAATGAGCATCTTTTTCTGGAATAATTTTTGGTGCCTGAAAACAAAGTGAATCCAAAAGAGAGCAAAGCTGAAAATGAGAAAACAAGACAAAGCAAGAAACCAGAGACAGTCCCACTGACATCTTTTGTTTGTTTTTGAGTTTTGGTGCTGGTGATTGACGCCAGGGTTTTGCACATGCTAAGTATACATTCTACCACTGAGCCACACACCTCCAGTATCCCCATAGCCATCTTTAACCCTTTTGATTAAAGTCTACCCTTGGATTTAAAAAAAAAAAATGCCTTGTTAGTGTAAGTCAGTTCAAATTGACCTCTGTAATCTGCAGCCAAACATCCTGACTGATGCAGGGTTAAATCACAAGAAAATGAACTGACATAAAATGAGTTTTAAAAAATCTTTCTTAACCCAATCAGCAATATCAGGCATGTTTTCTTACCCTGCCTCCTTCTCTGGTTTGGTCCTGCCAGTGTTTGGACTAAGGACAGAAACACAGGCGTCCTGAGGCAGGGTCATGGTTTCCTTTTGCTATGCATCCCATGCCCCAAATTCAGAGCAACTGACAAGATGAGATGTGCTTCTGGGATCATGCAGCTGAACTGAATTGGCAAAGACAGATTCCAATCTGATCCCTGGACTTGACCTTCCAAGGTAGGGAAATAAACTGGCATTTTGGAAAAGTTTTCCACAACAAGTGTTGAAAGGAAGAATGTTCTATCACAGTGATGGCGAGCCTTTTAGAGATCAGTGCCCAAATTGGAACCCAAAACTCACTTATTTATTGAAAAGTGCCAACACTGCAACTAAACCTGAATGCTTGGCTGCTGGGGCAATGCTGGGGCAAATTGGTTCGCATGCTGAAAAGAGCAGGCTCTGTATGCATGCTGTGGTATGTGTGCCATAGGTTTGCCACTGCTGTACTTAATCCTCTGCTGATGAGCAGAAATCAAATTGCACAAAGCCTCTAATCCTAGGTAACTCAGATCTGAGAACAATGGGGCATAACTCAGAGCACCAGAACCCAAAGGACTGTCTGTTTAAAAGTAATTGATAACAAGAGATGGAGAGATGGAGAGAGATATGATAAACACACCTGCAACTGAAAAATGAACAGAAAACGGAATTCTTTAGAAAAAGATCTACACAGTACCTGAAAGTCTGGCAAGGAGCCAGCACTGTTACCTGAGTGGACCGGAAAGACAACCATAAAGCAACCCCTGTCCCATCAGACAAAGCCAACAACAGTCTGCTGAGCAGGTCAAAGGGAGCTCTCTTAACCTGGCTAAGATACTACTTCCAGCTTCACAGTTACAGTGGCCTCCAGCAGCCAAACAAGAACCTGTCCCATGCTGATGCCTAGCACTCACAGCACCCGCAACGGCAAACTCACCAGCACTCCTTCTCAGCCTGCCCTGCAGGTTCTTCCTCTCCTCTCAACCTGAGCAGGAGGTGCCAGGCCCAGCCCTGAGACCTCTGTTCTATACTCACTCTGTGTGAGATGTGCAGGCTAAGAACGCATATGGCGACAAATGTGAGCCCTAATGTCCAGACTCACACAGCCATCTCTATCTGGACATCAGTTAGGGATTTGCAAATTTGACACGTATAAAGCCAAACTCCCACTCCTGCCCTCCAAGTCTTCCCCAGCTTTTGAAGGCAATGCCATCCTTCCTGTTGTCTGAACAAAAGACTTGGGAGTCATGTTTGACTCTTCTTTCTCACACCTATCTTTTCCATCAGCAACTCCTGTGAACTCCACCCTCAAATACATTCCAGATCTTCTCCCATTTCTACCCTGGTCCACAATATCCTTCCTGGGGACTACAGCAGCCTCCTGACTTGAGCTCCCACTTCTGCCCTGCTCCCCACTATTCAGAAACCAGGGATCCAGTAAACACGTATCACTGGATGAGGTTGCACCTCTGTTCAAATCCTTCACTGGCTTCTTCAATGACTCCTGCAAGTCAAAGTCAAAGGTAATCAAGATGGCCCAGGTGATCTGGACCCCTATGAGTTTAGTCTCACCTTCTGTCACCTTCTTCCTCTTTAGTGTTTTCCAGCCCTCTTGCTGCTCTCCACCATGCCCTTTATACTGGCAGAGGTGACTCTGGGCCTTTCCACGAGCTGTTCCTTCTGCCTGGAATGCTCTCTCCCACATACCCTCCTCCCTCCTGTCCTGGGCATCCAAGCTCAAAAGCCAGCTTCCCAGAGGCTGCACTCTGTAAGGCTGTGATCCTAACCCACACTGTACTCCTACCTCATCCTTGGCCTTTCCCTCCACCTGTCACCCCATTTCACTCTTTTGGCTATTGTCTCCATCCTCACCAGAACACAAGCCCTGTGAAGGTAGGGACTACTGGTGTAGTTTGATTACTGTATCCTCAGAGCTTGGGTCAGTAAGTCCCAAACAAGCAAATACAGGGTCCAAGCTGAATTTATGGCCCTCAAGCTCATCTGGTGCTAAGGCACCTTGCACACAGACTCAGCCTGTTGGCCCTAATGGCATTTCTGCACTCTTCCTGCCCCCCTGGCACCTCAGATTTTAGTCAACGTTGGAGCAACAGTAACAGGGATGGCAGAAAATAGTCAGTGCTGGAAGCTGCTGTAGGATCCTGATTTCCTTTCTGTCATTTATCTAGTCTGGTTTCCTTCAGCTTAGCCTTATTTTATGTGACAGTTCTCCCTTCACTCGGCCTGCTTCCTCCTGATTCCTAGATCAGCAGCAGCAGTGGATAAGGGACACCTGGTTCTCCATCTGAGTGGGTGGACCGCACAGCAGAGGAGCAGGCAGGGAGGAGGTGGCAGCGCTGATCCCAGGGACAGTGGGAGGGAGGTAGAGGCCAACATACTCGCCCATGTAGCCCTTGGAGGTAGAGTGGAAGGAGGCAAGTTCCACATTGTTGGAATACTCAGGTCCCATCTCATAAAGCACCTTCTTAAAGGAGTGGAATCTGCAGTCTGGAGAGTACACGTTGTCCTGGTACACCTGCAGGGGAGGATTGACAGGGACAGTCACTCCAAGACCTTCTGAGAGGCTTGAGCCCAGGAAGGTGCTGCTGAGGGGGCAGAGCTAGAGGAGACATGGTACAGATGCTCAGGGTTCATCTCCATCAGGTCGGGTCTGAGGTCCTGTCCTGAACAGCCCAGCCAGCCCAGACTCCTGTGCACCTCCAGGGATGAGCTGGGACATGCTTGACAGAGCCCCTACAATGAGGAGGGAGAAAGGTCTCAGGCTGGACACCGAGCTCACTTGACAGCTGAGGAGCTCACTTGATTTTTCCCATACTCATCCCCACCCAGTCTTCAGGTTTCCTTCCTCCCTCATCAGGCCAGTGATTCTCATCTTCCCAACAAATTTTCCTCCTAAAACATAATGTTGATTCCCTTTAATCACATTAACAATGACAGCAGTTAATGCACCCATTCTCTGACTTCCCTATTTGCGGAGTTAACTCTGTTGCATTTCCTTTCCAACACTTATCCAGTTTTAAATTATTCTCTTTTTCTCTCTACTTTTCACTGCCAGAGAAACACCCATATCCATTTTGTTCCTCTGTGCCCTCAACGGTCTGGCATTCACAGCCCCAGAGCACCCTACTCTGCCCTTTGAGAATAACTTCTCACACCCATTTGGAAGATCAGAGCGGCTTTCTGGAGCCTAAGGGTCAGTCGGGCTCCATCTGCAACAAGCCAGGCATTGTCCTACTCGTCCTCTTCCTCCCAGACCCCAGGGTCAGGGGTGGTTATGGCACAAGTCACAAGGAAAACTATGGGTCTCTTTATTGCTCTTTCCTTTAGAAATGAAGATTTCAGGCTCATCTATTATTAATTATGGAACAAATTGGTGGGTAAGGTGTATGTATGTGTCGTGGTGGCTTGGGGATGCTATGGAGCAAAGAAATAAAAGTACAGTAGTGTGTCAGAAGCTACAACTAAGCAGAAACCATGCAGAAATGAAGATGAAAGTGGAATTTGATGAATCATCAATTTCTTCCTTGCAAAGCAGAAAAAGAATAGGCAGGCCTCAACCTCAGAAATGGGGTTCAGAAGGCAACAGATATGGGATCAGGATCCCTGTCTCATGGGCTATTAAATGAGACAGGAGATATAGATGTACAAGGCACAGAATTGCAGCTTTTTGAGGAGTGGACATCAGTTGTTTCTGTCATACTGGCATCCAGTCTCCCTTCTTAGGTTAAGAGTCCTTTGGGCTGGGGATTTAGCCAGCAGCATAGCGCCTGCCTGGCAAGTGTGAGGTCCTGAGTTCAATGCCCAGTACCAAAAAAAAGTCCTTCAATTTGTCCTCAGGAAATACCCCTCCCCCTAGTTGTCCTTCTGGAGGTTTGGGAGAAAACAGGCAGAAAGCCCATACCCGATTTGCATACTGTAACTTACAGGCCATAGTGATTGGTTCAGCAATGGGACTGTGGCTCAAGATGAACCAATGAGGTATAATCCTGAGACTTTTGATAGAACCATTAGGGTGACAAACCCTCTTTCTAGGCTGGGAAGACAACAGGCCTAAGTATGAGGACAACATTGAGGGATGGAAAGGAGAAAGAGAATTTGGAAGATATGGTATGAGTTACCTGACATGGCTTCACACTCACCATTTTTTTCTTTTTAAATTTAAAATTATTTGGGTTAAATTTCTAAGAATTTATGAGTCCAAACCAATACAAGAACAATTTATGTCAGAGAGTCATAGGTAGTACAACTGATCGTATTCATTCATCCTTGGACAGAATCACTCCTAGAAGAAAGATCTCTCTGGCTGCAGAACAATCAGGTCTGGATCCCTCCCCTCAAAAAGAAAGCTCACCTCCACCCTTCTCTGAGGGGGAAGCTGGGACTACTCTTACCTCATCAGCCAGGAGAAAGAGCTTCTCTTCCCAGGCAAAGTGAATCACATCTTCTATGCACTTTCTGCTTTGTACCTGGCCTACAAAATCCCCAAGAAAACCAAAATGTAGGTTGTAATGTTGTTTAAATTGTTCCCCGGTCAGAATCCCACCCAGAATCACTCTGGTGTCCTGAGTTCCCTTAGGATCCCAAGAGACCACACTACTAGCTGCAATGCACGATGGTGTAGTCAACCTCCAGGGATGTCTGGGGGGTCAGTCTGCTCTAGCTGACTCACTGAAGCCAGGGATGTGGGGGAGTAGTTTCCCACTCAATTTTCTTGGTATTCTTATGAGTGGATTTGTCTGTTCTGGAGGACAGGAAGGCATGGAAGTGTCATGAAGAGGAGGAAAATGAAACTGAAGGAGTTAATCTATCAGCTCACCCCCTCTTCACCTTACTCTACCAGCAGCAAACAATGGAGAGAACTGCATGCCTGACAGGGTAACTGGGTGAGAGTTACTGGAGCAAAACTGAAGGTGTTTTCAACTTGTGGAAACACCTTCTCCCCAGAGAGGAACACATAATCCCCAAGAGGCAAGGACAGGGTTTATCCTGGCTCACCATCTATCCTCACAGCTGACACTCAGCAGGGGTTCAATAAATGTTTGCAGGACAACACTAAATGAGTGATCCTGGGCAACAGCTTTGATATCTCCTGTCAGCTACTCCTGGAGAGTGAGGCATCACTGAACACCATTATGATAAGCACCTTGCAGTTTTCTTTGGCTTAGTTGTCCTCCTTCAGGACTTAATAAAAACAGGGAAAACATCCACCACCCATTTTTGAGAAATGAGTGCAAAGAGTAAGATAATAATCCCAGCAGCTCAGAGGAAATGTCCCAGTTCAGGTCAGTAAAGGAACTAAGGTAACAAGGTAGAGATGGGACCAGTATTTTCTGAGACATACCTTGAGTGTAGCACCAGGAATATCTGACGCACTCACAATGTCCTCCAGAAAAGTACCACTACGACCAGGCTCATCGATTTCTTTTTTAAAAAAGCCATGTTTCTTTATGCATATGTATATCTAACTTTATGTACATATGTACATATATATGTATATTTGTATCTTACACAAAGCAGTACATAGAATTTTATATGTTTTTGCAAAAAAATAAAAATGCCTATATTCTTATCTATGTAAAAATATCTGGGAAAAATAGATGCATGTATCTTTTATTTTTTTGATACTTGGAATAGAACTCGGGACCCTGTGGTTGCAAGGCAGGTGGCGGAACCACTGAGCTAAATCCCCACCCCAATGCATGTATCTTATAAAAGCATGGTATGGTTCAGCTAGGATTTCTGCCTTGAACTATGTAAGCAATGAACCAATTTCTTTGTTTCGTGCTTGCTCTCTCTCTCTCTCTTTTTTGCAGTAGAGGGGATTGAACCTAGGGCCTTTGCACTGAACTACATTTTTATTTTTATTTTATTTTTTCGGTACTGGGGATAGAATGCAGGACCATGCACTTTCGAGGCAGGTGCAATGCCACTGGGCTAAATCCCCAGCCCTTTATTTTTCATTTTGAGTCAGGGTTTTACAAAGTTCCCTAGATAGGCCTCAAACTTGCAATCCTTTTGCCTCAGCTTTCCAGAGTGCTGCAATTACAGGCATGTGCCACTGTGCCTGGCTCAACCGACTTTTCTCTTACCAACTAGGCTTCCTATGAAGCAAGCTCAGTGCAATAGGATTCCAAGAGGACAGCAGCCCCTAGTTTTCAAAAGAACCCAGCACTGTTCTCACAGATAGACAAGAGCTGGCTGCCTCAGGGGCAGAATTTGCCTGAAAATCCTCCTGGTCTTGCCCTCTCATACCTGTAATCCCAAAACTATATCCTGTTAGAAAACAAGCAAGGACATGAACACCAGAATGTGCAAAAACATGTTCACTAAATGCTAAGGGTAATACGAAGAGAAATTGAGAAAGAACCAGAGCCTCAAAAAGCCTTAAGCTTGGTAGTGGAAATGAGATCCGATGGATGCAAATAATTCTACTGATGCGCATAATGCAAACTTGAGGACAAGGACAGAGCTTTTACCTCTCCAGTGCCCAGGGAACAGCAGTCACTTGGGCGGCTCACACTTGCTGAGCCACTGAAGGGGACAAACATATCAACAATGGTGGAGGAGAAGGGAAAGTTACATATGGGCTGACTGGGGCTAGGAGACAGGAGACTTGGCTTTGATATAGACCCTCAAAGGCTGGACAGGGCTCCTAAGTACCTATCATCAGTCTAGGCCAAAAGAATCTCTCATGGACTGGTGGAGTATGTGTGGCTTGTGGCTGCTGAGCATCCTTTGCTTTTATAAGTAACAGATCGCAGCTGCACTATGGAAAACTCTAGCAGGGAGCACTGGCACAGACCTGGACAATCACAGTCCTGGTGACTGGTTCAGGGACAGGTAGGTGACCCAATGTGGGCCAATGAAAGTCTGGCCTGGGACTTTTGGTCAACCTATGGGAGAAACTCCCCTCTAATGCTGAGCTGGTGGGCAATGGTGGAGTCAATGAAGGTCAACAACACAAGGACAGACCCTTCCTGAGAAGGAATCCAGCACAGAGGACAGCAGAGCTGAGAAATGGATTGAGGTTCTTCTGACAACAGTACTGGTTCAAGGGCTGGGGATTTAGCTCAGTGGAGCTGCGCCTGCCTGGCAAGGACAAGGTCCTGAGTTCGAATCCCAGTATGGGAAAAAACCCAAAACCAAACAAAACTGTACTGGTTCAGGTGTACTGCTTTGACCCCTGCCTGGACCTTACAGTGCCATGATCCAATCCCCTGATTCTTGAGTTAAGTATCTGTCTTGAAATCAAAAGAGCCCTGGCTTAATACCCCAGGCACTTTTGATTTTTTTTTAGCCAAACTGGTCACACAGTGTGGTCCGGACAAGATACATGGTCACCACAGGTGGGTTCTCAGGTTCCACTGCGCCTGTTCTAATAGTTGACTGATTTTTATACATTAAGACCCAAAGAGCAAAACCAGATTCTTTCCATTGACAAAATTATTCTTTACACAAATTACCTACATTAATTCATTCACATGACCCCTTTACTTAGAACAAGAAAGTCCCTGGTGCAGTTATTTCTTCCCAGACAGCTAGGTGAAAAGATTTATGTAAACACCTGGATAGGAAAGTGCTGACTCAAATAGATGAGGCATACATCCTTCCTAACATGTTGCAGGACTAGTAAATGTGGTCCTGGAACCAGCAAAAGTATCACCTGGGAGCTTATGAGAAATGCAAATCCTCAAGCTATACCCAGGCCAATTATATCAGAATATCTATGAGCGGAACCCAAAATTTGCATTTTAACAAGCTACAGTTTGAGAACTACTGTTGTAAGGAAGTAGTTTTCATCAGCTGCACTATTGACGCCTGGGCCTCGTACCCCAGAGTCTGAGGTATGGCATGGCCTTTCAGATTTGTTTTCAAAGTTCCCTTTGTGATTCTAATATACACTGGGTTTGGGACCCAGTTCTCTGTCATTTTCCTGCTGCATCCTGGTTAGACTCTTTATCTCTTCCCCCAGGGCACTGGGGTAAACAAGGCAGTGTTACTGCCAGCTGCACCCATTTTCTGCACTCAGGAATTCAAGTGGTGCTTTCAGCTGACTGAAGCATCATTTGATGTTCCAGAGAAGCAGATTCCACAATCAACTCCAACGCATTTTGGACCAGACCCAATTTATCTCAACAAAGGAGGAGAGAGGAGCCCTTGTTCTCTACATCCAAATAGCACAGGGGGCATATGAAGCCAGCAGCCCAGAAAGATCAAAACAGGCAGGACTGTGTACTTTTTGAAAAGAAAAATGTGCAAAATTGGGGCTGCCTTTCAATTTCTGGAAATGGGCCTTTTGTTTTCTGGTTTGCTTTTGTTTTCAATATGGCATTTCCTTCTCGGGCCTCAAGGTACACAGCAATGCTATGTCAAAAAAAAACCAAAACCAAAGAAACCAAAAAACACATACCAGCATTCTGAAAACTGGTTCAGGAAAATAAGTGGGAATGAAAATAAGGTCTAGGATCAGTGGTGAGAGTTTGTGCGTGAATAATCTCAAGGAGGTGAGTCTCCACACATGCAAGAACGGAAAAGGAAAACTGATCTTTACTAGAACCCTGTCTAAGAAAACGCCTGCATTTGCTGCCTCCTGAGACAAATCTCATAGCTCTCTGTTAGCAAAGCTGGAACTGGCATGGGAAACTGGGTGCAGAGAGGGCTTCTCATTATTTTAACTCTTTACTGTGTAAATGTCAAACACAGCCGCACCTCCCAAGAAACGTGCGAAGAAGGGAAATGCAGACCTGTGGGGTTCCCTGGGTTGATGATGCAGAGCACTTTGGGGTCACAGTGGTTTTTGGCCTCTCGCACAGCCCGCCGGAGTTCGTGCACATTCAGGGCCCAGCAGTTCTCCTCGTCCAGGTAGTAATTCACCTGGATGGCATCGAGCTCCGAGATGACCGCTGAGTAGAGGGGATACTGTGGGATGGGGATCATCACACCCGTTCGAGACTTGCCACCCCCAGAGACAAGGATCTTCAGGATTGTCTGCAACCAAAAAGTCACAGTCAGAAGGTCCCTGCCACTCCCCACTCTTTGGGAGCTGATGACCAGCCAAGTCAGCTGGCCCAACCCCAGCCTTTCACCTTGACCCCACTGGCTGCTTCCAGTGTAACCCAAGAAAGCTGCTTCACTTCCCCAAGGCAGCCTTCCCTCGCCTATAAAACTATGGCTGCTGGAAGGAGTAAGCAAAATGGAATGTCTTAAAGGACTCAGCACAGTGTACTGAGTATGGAACATAACAAACAGGCTCAATTCTTACCATTTTGTTTTGTGGGGACTGAACCCAGGGAATTCTGAGCTGTAATTCCAGCCACTTTTAAATTATTTTGTGGAACAGGGGATTGAACCCAAGGCCTCACGGCTGAACTACATTTTTTTTTCTCATTTTGAAACAAGGTCTCACTAAATTGCCCATCCTAGCCTTGAACTTGATCCTCCTGCCTCAGCCTCCTGAGTAGCTGGGATCAAAGTCTTGTGCCACCATGCTCAGCCTTGTTAGTATTTTTAATACTTAGAAAACATTCACCTCCAAACTAGCCCTGTCTCAGAATTATTATGACCTCATCCTTGGGACCTATATTTAGAATCTCTTACGGTAAGCATCAGGTGCCAATAGCTAGAAAGACCCTTTAACAGAAACAGCTGAAATAGGATGAAATACCCACTCACTACCATCAGATGGTGCTTCAACCTGCTTGCAAGGCTTAGCAGGCCTCATGTTTGTAGGATTCCTGAGGAACCAGGCCACGGGAATCCAGTGGGGTGTTGGTGGAGGCAGCAGTAATTCATTAAATTACCAAGCCAATACCCTTCTAAGGAGAATCTCCACCTAATGCAGAGTAGGTCCTTTCTCAGGAGCAGTTCCTTGCTCCAAGTATGAATGAAAAGTGCAATGACTTGATTCTTTCCATTGAGTTTCTGGGCACTCCCTACCCTCCTTCGGGATGTCTGCCAGCACTGGGCTTCTCTGGGAAGGGAGAGGGGCTCTGAGAGCAGAAAACTGTGGAAGATGCTGAGGTTGGGGACTGAAGTCGTAAGATCAAAATCCCCCATGTCACAAGAAATGCCTCAAAGTAGGCACCATCTAATGTCTCTGGGCCTGTTTCCTCAAGGGCTCCAGTAAGAATTTAATGATTTGAGATGCTTTGGGAAAGGAATAAAGCACATGACAAACATCAAAAACAAAAGTCTCTGAAGCTAGGAGATAAAAAGCCCCAGTAACAAGGAACTGTAGGACAGCACACCACTCCCGGAATAGGGAGTGTAAGTGAGTTAACTGCACCTACCACTGGCCAGGCCCTGGAGGGAGGCCTTAAACGGATGGAGGGAGAGAGCTCACCTAGCATCAGGAAACAATGAACTTCAGCCCTATCACCTCAAAAAGCCTGCAGGTCCCCTAAGCACAGGATTTTAGACTCCTCCAGCCGAGTGATCATCAACACCACCCTCTCCTCATCCACAGCTGACCCAAGCCTGAGTCATCTCTTGTAAGTGTGCCCCACATCCATGAGGTTCCTCCCAGGCAAAGCTGAAGTTGAAGAGTACTGAGCATGCTTCACACCCTTCTGTGGCCTAAATCCTCAGTGTGGCCTCTAAGGCCCTGCGGTCATCTGCCTGTCTGGCCCTGTTTATGACACTGTATGCTCATCCACCCTGCACCCTGACTCCACTGCCAAGCAGTAGCCTCCTCCCAGCTCCACACAGTGCCCTTTGGGTCAGACATCATCCCTCACTGGCCTGCCCGGCTTACTCCTGTCTACCTTTCTGCCTTCCTGACGCTACCCCACCAGCTCAGTGTCCCTGCTGCTCCCTCCCACAGTACTTTGTCCTTTGCACTGTGGGTGAGAAACTGAAAACTGGTGCTCTGACTTTTATATGCAAGATGCCAATGCTGGTGTGAAGCCAGAGGCCAAATGATGTGCTTGGCTCCCTAGCACAGGGACAGTGCCTGGCAGAAGGGGACACCAATATGTGCTGAGTGATAGCAAGGCCATTGGGCACCCTGGTATGTCCCATGGCTTCTCTCCAGCTGGACCTGCTGGTGAGGACTCTGCAGGGAGACAGGCTGCGGTCATGTCCAGGGCTTGGAAGACTAAAAGAGGGAAGGATTGCATTCTACAGGACAGAGGGACCAGAGGGTGACCTGTCACCTCACTGGCCCTAACAGGCAAGGTGATTCTTCACGTGAGTGAACACTGAGTAGGAACGAGCCAGCCTCACACATACAGAAATGCCATCACTAGCTCCAGTGGTCAGATAAATGTTGTCTGGGTCCGCCGGCATGCCACCATCTCTCCTGGTGATGTAGGCAGCCACATCTTCACGGATGCAGTTGACACCTTGGCTGGCACTGTATGACCCTGTAAGATAGCAGGCAAGATAGCAAGTAGAGACAGGATGCCTAGCTCCACAGAACGAGTGTAACATTTGCATAATTAACTGGGAAGAGGTCTCAGGTGGAGCCCAAGTCCTAATCTCTAGGCCCTGTAACTGTGACAAGCTGCTTAACTACTTACCTGGGCTCCATCCACCTATCCTTGCTTCCATGCATTCTTCTACCTAATATTTACTGTGTACCTATTATATTCTAGGCATTATTATAGACCCTGGTCTCTAACCAGTCAAACAGTGCCTGTACCTGTCCTACCAGCACTCCTGGGTTGTAGATCTGGGATAATCATGCTTTTATTCAGTTGCCTGCAAATGGTTTCACAGAACTGGGCAGGGTAGGTGAACACCAAGAAGCACCAACCATAGATCTGTGGGGTGGTCAGTCCTGCTCCTCCATGCCACCTCATGCCAAGAACATCCTTAGACTGCTGCCATTTAGGATTGTTTTGTTTTTTTTGGTACCAGGGATCAAACTTGGGTCCTTGCGCTTGCGCAGCAGGTGGCGAAACTACTGAGCTAAATCCCTGGCCCTGCCATTTAGGATTAAAAGTCAGGTTGCTGTTTATATGAAATGTAAAACCAAGCAAAACTAACTGATGGCAGTGAAAGTAAGAACAGTGGTAACTACATGAAGGGTGGAGGTACTGACTGGACAGGAGTACCCAGGGGCCCTCTGAGGTGCATAATCTGGGTGGGGGGTTCCAGTGGTGTCTATGTAAAAAATGTACATTAATATTGGTACATTTTATTGTATGTTTGTTACAGATCCACACAAATTTTGTTTTGTACGCAGTGCTGGGATTGAACTCAGGGCCTCACATACACTAACGAGGTCAATGTGGTAAACCTATGGCATGCATTCTGCAACAGGCTGTTTGTGTCATTAAAAGCTCTAAAAGGTTTGCCATCACTGACCAGGCACTCTGTCACTGAGTCACATCCCCAGTACAACAGTTTTGTTTTTTTTTAAATGCCAGGCCACTATTTAAAAAAAAAAGTTGGAAACAACGAACTTGCATATATACACAAAATGTCTCTGAAACAAGGCTCCACTGCAGAGCGAGTTCTCTAAGTACACTGGGATGCTGGGGTCAGAGGTGGGAGGCAGATTTTTCATTATACACACACAACTTTTCAATTTCATATTTAAAGGGAATCAGCCCATTCATTGTATGTATGACTACTACAAAACCACCAGAGGCCGGATGGGGCTCTGGAAGCAGCAGATTCTTCTCTGGAATCTCAGCACATTCACCCCAGGCCTGGTACCCAGTGAAGTTCTGCAGAATGTAAGAGTGCGGGTTCTGACTCTGCCTCAGCCTCCATATGCAGCCTTGGGCTCACCCCTTCCCATCTGACCAGCTTCACCCCATGTGAAAGGAGGGGGCTGGACCTCATAAGGCCATACTAAGATGCCAAGTAGCAAACATAAACATGTATCACCTCTGGCTGGTGAGTACAGAGACTTTGGGTATGCTAAAAATCTGAAGTGTTCTGCAAACTAAAAAGGGAATATATGTATGCAAACACTGTTGGAGAACTCCTCCCCCACTAGGTAATTAACTGATACTTTTTTTTTTTTTTTTTTTGGTACCGGGGATCAAATTTGGGTTCTTGCGCTTGCAAAGCGGGCACCGGAACCACTGAGCTAAATCCCCAGCCCTCACTGATATGTTTAAGCTCCTGAGCCCTGAGACCTTCCAGGACTCCCTCCTTCCCTTTGCTTTCTTTCACTGCCCCCTTTCACTCTATGGGTCTGCACCCCACACCAGCCAGGTGCCTCCTTTTTCCAGCCCCTCAGTCCTGCTGGTTCCTTAGATTCCCCAAGGCACCACTACTGGCAAGCTCTCTGCTTCAGCAGGCCTTCCACCCTTTCTAGGAGGCTCTAGTGATTTCCTTCTTTCTTTTTTTTCCCCATTAGATCTTCTGTTGTTCCAAATCTCACTATGCTGGTCCCTCAAGGCTCATTTCTAGTCTGTTGCCTGGAGTTCTGCCCTAAAGTTTCTGCTCCATTCCCAGCCTGGGTTGGAATTTCTCTAATTATTTTATACAGAAGAAGCCCTACCTTCCCACATTCCCTGAGGGAAGGACTGTTGTGGTTTTTTTTTTTTAATGCATCTCCTAGGGCACCTAGCTTACCACCGGGCCTAATCCCATCACACCCATACTTAAGGCTCATTTTCCTGAATGAGAGCCAAGCTGGCAGCATTATCATTGCCAAACTTCCCAGCTGCACTCAATACTGCCATGTACAGAACATATTCACTGGATCACACTGTTTCTAAACCTCAGGGCCTTTGCATGCACAGTTCCTTCTGTACGGTGTGCATCTGCACATTATTTGTCATCCACATGGGCGTGAATGCCTTCTCCTTTTAAGCCCTTGACATTAGAATCCCTTGATATATTTCTACAGCTTTCTGTCTCTTCTCCAGCAAGTTAATGAAAGCTGAGAATTACATAGTCAATTGTCTTTTATGTTTGTTTCTCTCAAATCTAATAGTAGCTTCACGAGCACAGAAACCCCACCTGCCTTGTTCACCAATGTCTTTCTGTATCTGGAACAGCACCTGGTTCATGGTGTATGTTCAGGAAGGGGCTGGACAAGGGCACAGAGACCCTACCACAACCAGACAGTGTGCTAGGTCTTGAGCTTAATCCTATTTAAGATCCAGGACACAGCCTAAGAACTGAATTACTTGTCCAACTGACAACAAATAAAGCCCTAATAAATCATTTTAAAGGGCATGATAAGAACATCCTGGGTGAGCTTCAAGACTGTGTACATATTTAGTAATTCCCACGTGGGTCAGGGTGGTCCTGGAGCACAGTGACACGTTCTACTTACTTTTATTTCTATAGGCAGGAAAGCGCTCAGGCTGCCCAAGGCTTAGTTAACAGAGAAGGACACTTCTGTGTTCCTGTCACAGTAAGGACCATATTGCCTGCCCCCTGCATGGGCAGGGTCTACTGGTGCCCTGACAGAAACGGGGCTTCTCCAACCTAACAAGGGGCTTGGTACACATGTCAACCTTCGTTGCAAGCTCAGAAGGGGACAAGCACTTCTTTGCTCAAGGATTAGGGTGTGGGGGTGAGAGTGTACTTCCCTGAGCTCCTAGGACAGAACTCAGGCTCACAAAAACCCTAGAGGTCAGCTGGTTTGCTGTAACACTCCAAAAGGGGATCCCCAGACACAGCCTCCCAAACCCATCCCGGCTTTGGCTGACAGAGTTGCCAAAACCTGGACAGGCTTAGCCTGGTAGAACAAAGATCCCCTCCCCCACACCCTCACCCTCACCCAGGAGGCACAGAAAGCAGCCTCTTCCTTCCCCACCTCTTCACCGGGGCTTCCGGGAGCCTCAGGACCATGGCCACTGGGTCTTTAAGAAGCACCCTGTCCACCAGGCTGGGCAGAGAGGGCAGGAGAAAAAGAAGCGTGTACCACACATCATCCAGGCTGGCAGGCAGGGAAGCAAGGGCTGTTGGGGTGACCACAGCCAGGAAAGTAAGCAGAGGGCCTTGATAAAGCACAGCGCAAAAATAGTATGGGAGAGCCAAGAAGGCTGATCCCCATGAATAAGGCACAGAAATCCCTAACTCCTAGCTTCGTATTTCAGACCATAAAGGCACATGTCCTAAAAGATGAACAACTGGTTTCTTTAGAACAAGGGAAGTCAGATTCCTTGTGTAGATACTGGGAGAAGGAATGGGGAAAAAAACAGAGGAAAGAAAATGAGATAAGAATAAAAGGCTAGAGGCCCGGAGGCTGGAAATCCACCTCAGCACAGAGGGAGAATGAGTATCATCTTCATATCTACAGGGGCCAAATTCTAGGACCTCCTTCTATGAAGCCCTCTGGTGGTGCCTGATGTTCATTCAGGAGGCAGCCAGTTGGGCTTGGAGAGGAAAGGCTGGGGTGATAGGAACACAATGAAATGGGAGGGTAAAGAACAGTCAGACTGAAGGCAGCCCCAGAAGAGGCCAGGGGGCGGGAGTCTCAGAGCACTTCCCTTCCCTAGCACTTGCCACTCACCTCCCAGATGATGGGGGGACGTCTCTGTGGCTGGGAGCTGCACAAAGCTGGCCACAGAGCAGACCTGGGCACGGAGCAGAGCTGGGCACTGCCTTCTCACTCAGCCTCCTGCTGCCGAGGCTGGTCACTACAGAAAGGCACAGCTGGAGCAGCTTTATAGCCCAAACCCAGCAGTGAGCAGGCACGTGCACCTAAGTGCCCCAATCTACCAAAAGATGGCATCTATGCCAGCAATTTAATAAACAAGAGGCTAGGGCTGGGGATTTAGCTCAGTGGTTTCGCTGCCTGCTGTGCAAGCCCAAGGACCTGAGTTCGATCTCCGGTACCAAAAAATAAATAAATAAATAAATAAATAAATAAGAGGCTAGCACAGCATGGATAAGAAGAGAAATGCTACTTTTCTGCACTCCACTCCACACATATTCACACACATACACAACTCTTCGTTCAGGCCTGGGGATCCAGGCCCACACTGGCAACACACGTTCATTCCATGCCCTTGGGGACCTGGCAAGTTGGGCCTCACCTAGGCTGTTTCCGCCACAAGCCTGTAGAATCCGCCGGGCTCTTTTCTTAGCATCTTCTGGGAAACTGGGGCTGTCCAACAGGTTTGGGTAGGTGCACAGGGCCATCACCTAGGGAAGAAGCATGCAGGGTGAGCTCCCAGCACCCCTATCCCAGAGCCTTACAACATTCTCGAAAAAGGACTTGGGGCTGCTGGGAAGGTGGCAACTCCCCAGTGCTACAGTGTGCCTGTCCATATGGGTTGAGCCTGTGGGAGGCCACCAGGCCCTGCAGCAGCAGGGAGACGCTGAGAGCCATAGTGCATCATGACCTGCAGTTGGGACACAAGCACAAGCTGCCAGAGAAGAGCCAAGAAGCAGAGGCTGCCTCAAAGGCCTGGCCTCAGCTTGCCCACAATTAGGACAGTGGGCTCACACAGCTGAAGTCCTAAGAACCAGGTCTCCCGAACACGGAACCAGGACTGGGTGGGCAGGTGAAGCCAGGCTGGCCAGAGCAGGGCTGCAAGATCCTCTTCATACCCACAGCCTAAGCTCCTTCCCACACCTCCTCATCACTGCTTTTCCTGGCACCTGAAAACCAGGACAGCTTTCTCATCTCTGTAACAGAAAATCACCAGAACCTGACAAAGTAAGAAGATTACACAGGGACATGTGTGCCGCAGTGTGGGTAAACCCCAGTGTGCCAGGTGAGTCTCAGCTGGCAGCTAAGTGGAGGGGCCTGCGCTCAGGGGACTGACACCCTAGCTTCTCGAGACAGGCTTTCTCTCTCTGCACCATGGGCAGGGGTATGGCCTGCCCTCTGCCCAGGGGCTCTTGTGAAGACCAGAGGAGATGCCTGAGGGCTGCAGGTACCCCGCACTGTGCAGGAGGCTGAGCCTGCTAAGGCCCAGGGCAGTGTCGGGCTGGGTCTGAAGATGTGTCTGGATAGCCAGTAAAGTCCTGTTTTGGAGCCAAGAGGCTGCATTTGGTTCCTTCCTTCCAAAACCTGTGCTTCCATGACAATCAGAGCCTCTCCCCTCCCCCTGCCTGGACTTTGACACAGCCAAGCCACTGTTTACTTTCTTCACTGGTTGGATCCACTTCCCCATCCTGGGTCCAGCTGGGGATCTGATACCCACACACAGCAGGCATTCTCAGAGAGTCAACACGGCTATGACATTCCTCAGACCGGTCACCTCTCACAGGGCCCATGGGAGGGGCCTTCTAGCCCCCAACAGCCCCTGTCCCAAAGAGCAGGCTTGCTCCTCTTTTGCACCAAAACTCAACTTCCTTGCCTGTCCCAGCTTGAGAACCTTAACCACACACAATGATTACTCCTGCTCACAGAGAAAGTTGTCTGCAGCCACGTCTCCCACCTCTGCTCAGGATGTCCTCTTGATTCTCTGTGGCCCACCAATGTCACAATTTTGGCCGTGCAGCAGGTGCTTAGACTGAAGCACTGACACCTGCCTCCTCATAGAGCCCTTACGAGTAATCTGGGTCACAGCAGAGGTGGCCAGGAGCATAGCAGGGGACAGTGGAGTCACAGCCTGCACTTTCCTGATGGGCTGGAAGAAGGCCTCATCTCACCAAGGCCTTCAGCATCCTCCAAGTCAGTCTGTGGTGATGTCCCCCTGCCCAAGGCCACCCTCAAACACAGGGTACCTCACTCACCACCTCCCTGTACACTGAGCTTAGCTCTCTTCCCAGCTGCAGCCTACATAAAGAACACCTTTGTTAACCAAGCTCCTAACTCAGCATCCAGGATCGTGAACTTCCTGGGTTCCTGGAGTTTTCCAAACCAGAGCAACACCTAAATAGGTTCAGATACGTGTGATTTTTTTGTTTTGTTTGCAGTGTTGGGGACTGAGTCCAGGACCTCAAGCATGTGAGGCTAGGCAAGTACTTTACTATTGAGCTACATCCCTCCCAGTTTGTCTGTCTGTCTGTCTGTCTGTCTATCTATCTATCCATTTATCTATCTATCTTTTACTTTGAAACAGTGGTTTTCTAAATTGCCCAGGCTGCGCTTGAACTTTCCATCCTCCTGCTTCAACTTCCTGAGCAGCTGGGATGACAGGCATGTACTATCAAGCCCAGAGGCTTAGGAATTTTTGACAGCCTTGGAAAGAGAGGAGCTAAGGGATAGAACCAAGGAATTTCAGGCCTGGAAGGGCTGCTCCTGCACAGGCATTTCCTTGAGGGATTCTGGTGTCTGCTGTGTCCCAATGGGACTAGATGGATAAGGAGATAGAGGCTGCCCCACAAACCCATGCTGCCTCCTCCCAGCCTGCAATCCCCTGCTTTCTCAGCAGTATCTAACCCCAAGGGCTGGCTTACCTGACGGAGAAAGGTGATTGGCTGCTGGCCCATGGCTTGGGCATCCCCGATGTTGGCTCGAATGACCTCAGTGAATGGTTTCTTGATACCCTGAGCAGAGAGAAGGCAACAGATGGTAAGATACTCTCAGACTCGGGATTCCTGACACTGAGCAGTGTTCCCACAGGCTATTAATAAGTTTGTCCTATTTTGAGCCTTACTAAGTATCAAGCACAATCCCAAGGCCTTGACACGCCTGGTCTCATTTAACCTTCACAACCACCCCATGAAGGAGAACTAGTATTAATCTCATTGTACAGGTGAGGAAATTGCAGTTCTATAAGGCTAAGAAATGTGTCCAATGTTATATAATAATATAGTATTAATTATAATATATTATTATGATTAATAATATATTAATAATATAATACAATACACGTACTGGATTTGAACCCAAGAAACACAAACCCAAGATAATTTTTCACTACTACGCTTCACTGGCTTTCAGTTTCCGGAAAGGCTGGCAGAGCTTTCCACGGGAGGTCCATGGCCTATCACATCACAGGAATGTCTTAAAGACGGCTCTAAGGAAAACATGGGAGGGAGGCAGGGGTCAGCAACAGAGCATGCCAAATGTCGAAGAGGGAGCTGCAGATACCCCTGCACCTTGATACCAAGCATGGTTCCACTAAACAGTTTACGTAAGTAGCCAGGGATACTGAGGACATCGTTCCCTGCAGGAAATTCTGAGGGCTGGTCCCCTGCAAGCTTGGTTTTGTAGAACATGGAATATGGGCTGATTTTCACTTTTTTTCTTTTAAGACAGTAGGGATGAAAGACTGAAGAGAAAAACTGAGGCCACTGCTTGAGCAAGGTGTTTAGCACAGAAAAGAGATTGCAGAGAGAGGAACTCAGACCCTTAATCGTCTTCAGGCAGGTGACTAAGACACCTCAGCTGCTGCAAAAGAGAAAACACAGTTTGACATAGAGATGTAGAAAAATGGGAATTCCGCACAGCCTCCTAATAAATCCAGAGTCAGCTAGTGAGAGAATTGGAATCAATGAGTTTAAAGACCTCCCAAGGGGGCTAAAGGGATAATCTGAGATAAACAGCCTGAAAGCACTTTGCAAAGTACAAACATCCTCATCCTACAAAGCTGGCCCAGGAATGAGGCCCTGAGGGTCATGGTGGGGAAGAAAAGGTCAGGGTAAAGAGGTGGCAGTGCCAAGGGGTGGCCCCAGTGGGAAAGCTTGGTCACCTTCCCATTTCCAGTCACCTTTTCCCAAAAGATACTCCAAATACAAATTTTAAAGATATAATTCTATGGTTTCGACACTTGTTCTTTTCCCCATCTCACACAATGTGTGAATAAAACCAACTTTGGAAAGCTGCTCTTAAAAAATCAGTAATTACAACTTAAGTAATAACCAGTAGGCTTGAGAAACAAAAGCAGCTGCCAAACAAGTTTTTCTGATCCTCATTTGCCACCAGAAACAGCCTTGGATCTTCATAAATAGGTCTCTAAAAGGCATATATCTGGCAGGGGGTGAGGGTGGAAGGGGTGGCCCTTTAGGCCCCTTGTCCTTTTTCCGTGAGTTTTTCAGGGCTGGCCAACGTGGAGAAAGATTCTTGGGACAACAACAAGCAGCCAAAATACCTAGAAGGCCAAAGGATGTGGCAGCACTGCCCACTGCACTAGAGCTAGGCTGGGGGTGACAGCAGGCACCCTGGGGACTCGGTGTGGGCATGTGGCCCCCAGGGATCACCCCACAGGCAGGACCCACGAAAGTTGGCAGCAGGGTAGCTACTTCAGTTGCTATGGCAAAAGGACAGGCTTAACTCATCCTTGACATTGGCCTGGTTCCTGGCACAGGACTCTGTCAGTTTGACTGAATTACCTCAGCCTCCAGGCCTACAGCTTGGGGAAGACAGGTCATTTCGGTCGTGTATGCAGAGCCTAGTCTTCATTAATGAGTAAATCTGTTAGTCGTGAGGGCCAGAAACCAGTACACAGCTAAGGGACTTGGGCCCTAGGCCAGCCTGACACCGGAAGAGAATAATACTGGAACAGAGTTTTGGATGTTCCTTTCTTGTGCCCTCCCCCTGGCACTGTTCAGCCAATTCAGGGCCTGCTGACATGGAGCCTGGGAACATTGAGCATGTCCTTTCTTCAGTCTTGGTGTCCACAGACACTGAACACTTTGCTATGATAGATGAGCTAGGGGGTGGAGAGGAAACTGGCTCCCTTGAATGGGCAAGGGGACCAGCATTACTAGCCAAGGTCAGCCATACAGAAGCAACTGTTCTGGAAAGACTCTTGCATTTGAGCCTACAGGGTCTTCATGCACTGGGAAATACCAGGGAATCCTGGGCAGACTCTTGCCCTAGTAGCTCATCTAGGCCTGGTAGGTACATCCAGGGGTGACGCTGTCCCAAGCCAGCCCCTGGTCCTGGGGACTAACAAGCATGTAGCATCCTGGTTTTCTCTCAAAGCACTGTAGAGACCACCTGTCTAATCCATCTACACACAGCCCACTTATGACCACCTCCATGTGTAGCACTGAGGGAAGGCCTTACCCAGGGAGGGCTCCCGTCCCACCACTGTAGCTCAGATAGGGGCTGTGGGAGTATGCCCCCCAAGCTCTGGGGGAATGGCATATTTCAGAGGGTATTAGTGAAGAGAAGAAAAAGATTTACAAGATACAACTGAATATATGGTGAATTTTGGGGGGCGGGGGTACTGGGATTGAACTCAGGATCTTGCGCTTGCAAGGCAGGCAGCAGAACCACTGAGCTAAATCCCCAGCCCTGGTGAATCTTTACATGTAAAAAATTTTACAGTAAAAGACACATTGCCATTAATTCCGCTCAAAATATTTCCCCTCACTTTGAACATACTTATCTCATTGATACAGGGCATATGATATAGGATGAAATATGGACCTCCAAATAATACAAGGGAAATATTACTATTCCCAATCTGCTAGATGCCCGATACGCTGAGTTAGTATTCTCTAAAATGGAAGAATGAATTCTAGGAACAACGGAGGTTAAGTGGGAAAGATAGCTTCTGTCTAAGAGAGACAGAAGAGGGCCTGGAAAGTGGGTTGCCTGTGTACCCTGCTTCTCAAGGGAGTTTTATACGGCAAAATCATAGGTGAGGCAGGTATATGGTGGGACAAAACTATAGTCAATTAATAAGACTACAAGTATACCTGCTTAGGTAATATTGATCCAATGGGAAATCACAAGGTGGGTATGAGGTGGGAAGAAACTATGGTTAACCAATAAGATTACAAGTATAGTCACTTAGGTAATATTGATTAAATGAGGACCAAATGGGGAAACTAGCATACATGGACAAAAATGGGCTAGGGAGGTTTTGGTCCCCCACCCAAGGTGACTGATACCTATTCAGAATATCAATTGCTGCTGTTCATCCTTGGGGGAAGTATGTGGGTGTAATAATTTCTCTTGTCTTGAAGCCTGACCTTCAATGAATGTGTCTCTAGTCACAGGTGTAATATGTTCTTATCTTCTGTATTGATTCTCTCAAGGGCCCAGCCCTGTCTGACTGCCTATAATATTTTAACTTAGCGTCTATAATATCAACATTCTTGCCATTTTCTGAAGCAGTTCTAGAATTCCTCTTTCCTGAGTGTCTTTATGAGGTGTGAACAAAAATAGTGTGAATGCTGCTGCCAACCAATACAGTGTGTCCTCATCTACCTTATTCACTGGATCTGAAACCATGTGACTTTCAGCTCTTCTCCAAAATCAAAATGATCATGAAAGGTCAACATTATTCTTTTGTGGGGTTTTTTGTTTGTTTGTTTGTTTGCTGAGAAAGGCTCTTGTCATGTAGTTCAGGCTGGTCATGTACTTGCTGTGATCCTCCTGCTTCAGCCTCCTGAGTGCTGGGATTACAGGTATGCACCACCACACCTGCCTGAAAGGTCAACATTTTCAATCAATTTAAGATATCCAAGCAGCCACAACTGTGCAACTAAAGACACTCAAAAAAGAAGAAAGCCAGGCATGGTGGCACATGCCTATAATCCCAGTACTTGAGAGGCTGAGGCAGAAGGACCACTGTGAGTTCGAGGCCAACCTGAATTAAAGGGAGCTCCTGTCTCAAAAATCCTTAAAAAAAAAAAAAGACAACTTCCAGAACTGCTTTAGAAAATGACAAGGATGATGGGATGTGTGTTCTAAGACAGGGGGAATATTATGAAGGGTATTAATGGCAATGTGTCTTTTACCATCATAAACTTTTTAAAAATTTCACCATATGTTTCAATCATATGTTGTAGCATTGTTCTTTCCAGCCCACAGGCCCAGCATCATGGAAGTGAACAGGCTAATGGATGATTCTAACAGGTACCAGGCATAGCCAAGGACATAATGAACAAAACAAAAAGCAACCTATAGAAAGGAAATATTTGAAAAATGTATCTGATAGAGTTAATATCCAAAATATATAAGGAACTCCAACTCAATAACAATAACAAAACAAAAAGTAGGCTAAGCATCTGAAGAGATATCTTTACAAAGACATAAAAATGGCCAACAGGGTCCAGGGATTTAGCTCAGTGGCACTGCGCCTGTCTTGCAAGTGCAAGGTCATGAGTTCAATCCCCGGTATCAAAAAAAAAAAAAGGGTAACAAGTCTGTGAAAAAGGTGTTCAACATCACTAATCAAATGCAAATCAAAATCACATGGAGACAGCACCCCATACTTCTTTTTTTTTTTTTTGAGACAGGGTCTTGCTATTAGCTCAGGCTGGCCTTGACCTCACTACGAAGTGCAGGCTGCCCTCTAACTCACAGCAATCCTCCTTCCTCAGCCTCCCAAATGCTGGGATTACAGACATGAGCCACTCTGCCTGGCAACCCCATACTTCTTAGGAAGGCCATATAT